ATCCCTTTCTGTGCCCCGCTCATGTATTGATCCATGTGCCTGTTCATCTTAGCCGCTATGATGCCTGACAGGAGCTTTCACGTGGTGCTGAGGCAGGTTATTGGTCGATAGTTGGAGGGGACCGGTCCCTTCTGGGGGTCCTTGAGGATCAGGACTGTCCGGCCTTCGGTTAGCCATTCCGGGTGTGTCTCGTCAACTAGCAGCTGGTTCATTTGTGCTGCCAGGTGCTCGTGGAGTGCAGTCAGCTTCTTCAGCCAGTAGGCGTGAATCATGTTAGGGCCTGGTGCTGTCCAACTCTTCATACTGGAGACCCTTTCTTGGATACCTGCCAAAAATGCTGACGAGCAGTTTCCAGGCACCACCATAAAAACTCACCACTCTGAACTTGCAGCTCCTCACGGGGTCGTGGGTGTAGGCCTGGCGACTTTTCTGCAGATAACACCTCCACAGAGGACACAGCACATCATCCTGAAACAGTAACACCAGTTAGGCCTCTGATTGATTGCTTTGTGGTTAACAGAGAGGAGGCGGACCTTAAATTGAGGATGGACTCCGAGCGCGAGCAGAGCATCGGCCTGGTTCTTCAGGATGAACTGGAAACCCTCGCAGACCATCCACACGTGACCACGCTCTAAGACAAACAGACACGTTAAACAGGATATGACATCATCGATTTATGCTGCTGCTGATCGGACACTGACCGGCCTGCTTCTTGCGGGGTCCTCTGATGGTCGACACCCTGCTGGACAACTTTAAGAAGGACAGGTCCACCACCTCCCGGGTCCTCTGAGGACACAGTCACATGTTAGGCAACAGAATAAGGAGGTCCTCTACACGTGGGCTTAACCACCAACACCATATTGTTAAAAGAAGCATCTTAAAGCATGTTTATGCAGTTCTGAATTCCCTATATCCCCATAACAAATTCATACTCATCCACCTGTGTAGTAAAAAGAGTGTCTCTGAAAGGGCACTAAAGAGACCCTGACACCTCAACCTCCAGTTACAGACCACTGTACAGGTCATAATGACGAAGATGTTTTTACCTCGATCACGTTGTGGCAGGACCTGCAGTAGAAGCGACCCTCGTCCGAAATGCCCCAGTCCACCGCTGAACACTGGGCACAGGGCACCGTGTACTCGGCCTGCACGCGCGCACACATACACAGACGGTAATGTTCAGGTGTTTCTGTAAATATTCTAATAAATAAATTATTCTTTAAGTCTTAAAAAAAAAAAACGTACTTCATGTATTTATTAACTTTATATTCGTGCATTCAGCTCTTAATGAACAGCGGAGGAGAAATCAGAGCTAATGTTCACGTTCAAATGCATTTAAAAACAGATTTATGTATAACAGCTGGTGAAACTGCACAGCAGCGCCCACGGGAAAGAATGTCAACAATTAAACCTCCAGATCCTAAACACTTCACCCACAAAAGCCTAGACGTCATTAACAACGATTGCTAAAATAATCCTTCTATGTTTATCGGGAAGATTTCTTTGCGTTTTCATTTGTTAACTTTAAGGCTGCTTTGAGACTTTCTGAGTATTTCGACAAACAATGTAGTTAAAATTAAATTTTAAATCAAAACTCATTAAGCGTTCACAGGTACTGATAGATAGATCAGTTTATTTTGAACATTATGAATAAACTGTCGCTGATGATACTACGCTAACGGATTTTAATTGAAGAGAACAGTTATTAAATGTGTGCCGATTAATTACTCAACGGCTGCGGAGTCACACAAACCTGTTAAATGTCTGAAGTTAAAGTTGGAGACTGAATGTCGTGCCAATCATCTTAAAACACTAATATTTTTAATGGAGTTTGGTAGGACCGAACTAGCTGACAACTGCGTTCACCGTAGGTTGCGTAAAATGAAACGACCTGTTTATGAGAGCATCGGGGGACTCACCGTGTGTTCGTCATCCATCCTGAGTGGAAAACTGCAGCTTTAACACGAAACTTTGGATTTTGTCGGCACTTTGTTACAACCGCAAGTGCCTCTGGTTGGAGACGCTGGGACTCTTCTTCTTCGCGCATGATTTCTGTGAGACTGAACGCCTCTCTGCTGCAACCACAGGCCAGATTACATACTTCAACTAAGCTGTAAAATAAAATAAAAATAAATACGCTTTATTTAAATATTGTTGTAAGTAAAAATAAAAATAATACATGTGTTATAC